AAGAAGCTCAAGGACAGTGTTTAAGCCCTGAGTTCAAGCTCCAGGACCAACACACACACATACTGTATGTTAAGGTCTATGAGGCCTGGAGTCGGGGAAGGAACCTAGATTAATGGTAGAAGGAGCTGTGGCAGAAGATGGTCATAGATCACTGGCTAAAACTGCTCATGCCAGGTGCTGGTGGCTCATGTCTATAATTCTAGCTACTCAGAAGGCTGAGAGCTGAGGATCTAACCCAAGCAGAAAGTCTCCAGCCTTGAGCAAAAAAACTATGGGACACCACCCAAAGTCCCAGAACACACACACACACACACACACACACACACACTGCTGGTGGAAGGAGCATGAGACTGCATCATCAGGCAGCACAATGCAAGAGCACCTGATGCTGAGTGAGAGAAGCCAGAGAGGGCACATCTAGAATGCCTCCGACTGACACTCCAGTCAGGCAGAGGGCCCTGCTGGTAGAGGTGTGCCTGGAAGCCTGGGGCTTCTAAGGGCATTCAGGAACATTCTGTGAACATTCACTAGGCACATTCAGGCTCAAGAGAAGTGCTTTCTTCTTCTTCTTTTTTTTTTTTTTTCCAGTCATGTTAAGTGGGGTAAGCCAAGCTCAGAGAGACAAACGGCACATGTTTTCTCTCGTAAGTGAAAGCTAGATCTAAACTACAACTGGACACCATAATTTATACAGGACTCGAGGCACTCACACATAGATTACAAGAGGATAGCCTTAGAGGAGGGATGCAAAGGCGTAACTCCTCTGAACATTCAAAATACTATTTATCAAAACAAATTCCAGGGCTGGGAAGGTGGCTCAGTGGTAGAGCGCTTGCCTTGCATCCATGAGGCCCTGAGTTCAATTCCTCAGCACCACATAAGCAAAAAGAAAAAAGCCAGAAGTGGCGCTGTGGCTCAAGTGGTAGAGCGCTAGCCTTGAGCTGAAGAGCTAAGGGACAGCGCCCAGGCCCAGAGTTCAGACCCCAGGACTGGACCCAAAAAAACAAAACAAAACAAAACAAAAAAACAAAACAAATTCCAGGAAATGGAAACATGGATTTTTTGTTGTTATTGTCAGTAGTGGTGGTGTTTGTTTTTGCTTTGGTTTTTGTTGTTTGTTTTTAGAGGGGGCAAAGGGAGGAAGCAGAAAGGGAGGGAGGCAGCATGAATAAATGCAGTCATGTTATTCAGTATACACTACACGGAAAATGAACTGTGTAATTTGTGGGCAGGGATAGGAGGGGCAAAATGAAGAAAGGAGTGACATTGTCCAAAGAAAGAAATGTACTCATTACCTGACCTGACTTATAACATGGTAACCCTTCTGTACAATACCTTGATAATAACAACAAAATTATATTGACTTTTTCAAAAACAACACAGTAAGTTCTAAGTCTTTCTTTCTTTTCTTTCTGTCATTTTTTTTTTTTTTTTTGTGCCAGTCATGGACTTAACTCAGAGTTCTGGTGTTGTCCCTGAGCTTTCTTGCTCAAAGCTAGTGCTCTACCACTTGAGCCACAAATCCATTTCTGGCTTTTGGTGATTAATTGGTGATAAAGATTTGACAGACATTCCTGCCCAGGCTGGCTTCAAACTTTGATCCTCCGATCTCAGCCTCCTAAGTAGCTAGAATTACAGGCATGAGCCACTGGTACCTGACTTTCCAACTCAGTTTTCAAAGCCCAAATCTTCCTGACAGTCTCACCACCCCTATAGCTTCCCTCCTACCTATGTCCTCCACCTTCCTCAGCCTCAGTCCGAGGACATGTTCTCAGAAACTTTTTACTCAGAGCAGCCTCCTGACCTTTTACCAAGCTGCTCTCTGCTTAGACTTTCCTCTATGAACCTTCTCTTGCTGCCTCCAGTCATTTCCTCAGGTCTTATGTAGATGGATGGTCTGTTCCCAGGCATCCCATATGTCCCCAACCACAGCTGCCATCATTCTTGTCCTTGTGTGATTTTTCTGTGTCCCTCATGAATCCAGGAGCTCCCCAAGGGTAGCAGTGTCTCTCCTAACCTTAATTAGCATTGAGCAGACATTCCATACATACCTGCTGAATGGGTGCATGGACGAAAGAACTGACTGCCACTGACATCTCCTGATTGAACTCACAGAGCAAGCCCCAGCCCCAGCCCCTAGCTTTGCATGCTTCACTGTTCTTAGAATGGAGAATCTCAGGAGCACATGATGCCAATATGGGTAGAGTCATCTCCAGTAGTGGAGATTTAAGAAATTTTTTTTGTTTGTTTTTTTGTTGGTCGTGGGGCTTAAACTCTGGGCTTGGGCATGGTCCCTCAGCTCTGCAGTTCAAGGTGAGCACTCTACCACTTGAGCCACAGCGCCACTTCCGGTTTTCTGGTGGTTTATTGGAGATAAGAATCTCACGGACTTTCCTGCCTGGGCTGGCTTTGAATGGCGATCCTCAGATCTCAGCCTCCTGAGTAGCTAGGATTACAAGAGTGAGCCACCGGTGCCTGGCTTAAGTAATTTTTAAGCCATTCACATCAATAGATACCTATTACTTTCAACTTTAATCCTGGTATTTTGGACTCCTTAGTTTAATAAGCAACAGAAGTCCACTATTGACAATTAAAACATAATATTGTAGCATGTAATTTACACTGTTTTTCCCATTGCCCCAGTGAGGAATATATATATATATATCTTCTCACTGTTATAAACATTGTCACAATCAACATTTTTACATGTCAGAGTTAGAGATGTAGCTCTGAGAATGTGCTTAGAATTCTTAAGACTGTGAATTTAATTCTCAGCACCCACCTCAAAAACAAATCTATAAGCCGGGCGCCGGTGGCTCACGCCTGTAATCCTAGCTACTCAGGAGGCTAAGATCTGAGAATCGCGGTTCAAAGCCAGCCCGGGCAGGAAAGACCGAGAGACTCCTATCTCCAATAAACCACTCGAAAACCGGAAGTGGCGCTGTAGCTCAAGTGGTAGAGCGCTCGCCTTGAGCTGAAGAGCTGAGGGGCAGCGCCCAGGCCCAGAGTTCAAGCCCCATGACCAAAAAAAAAATATATATATATATATATAGCTAGGTGCTAGTAACTCATGCCTGTCATCCTAGCTACTCAGGAGGCTGAGATCTGAGGATCATGGTTCAAGGTCAGCCTGGACAGGAAAATCTATGAGACTCATCTCGAATTAGCCACCAGAAAATTGGAGGTGGTGCTGTGGCTCAAAGTTGTAGAGTGTTAGCCTTGAGCAAAAAAGCTCAAGGACAGTGCCCAGGCCTTGTGTTCAAGCCTCATGATGGACAAAAAAAGTATTTTCTTGCTGAGATCTGAGGATCACAGTTCAAAGCCAGCCTTGGTAGGAAAGTCTGTGAGACATATCTCCAATTAACCATCAGAAAACCAGAGGTAGAACTGTGGATTCAAGTGGTAAAGTGCTAGCCCTGAGCACCAAAGATCAGGGACAGCACCCAGGCCCTCAGTTCAAGCCCCAGTACCAGCACAACTTTTTTTCATTAGTGCTAGCACTTGAATTCAGAGCCTCTTGTCCTCACTTGACTTTTTTTCTCTCTCTGAAGGCTGGCATTCTACCATTTGAGCCACTTTCACTTCCCGACCAACTTCTAGCTTTTTGGTGGTTGAGATAAGAGTCTCATGGACTTTTCTGCCCAGGCTGGCTTCAAACAGCAATCCTCAGAGCTCAACCTCCTTAATAGGTAGTATTAAGGAATGTGCCACCGGTGCTTGACAAAAAAAAGGTGGTCCTGAGAGTTTCTCTAATGTAAGGGACATGACCTCTTTGTCAGCATCATAAGCACCCTTAACTTTACCAGATATGGCAGTGCTGGGCTCCAAGGGGGGCTACCGCGCTCCCTCCCACACTGTCCTGTCTCACCACATCCTTCCCCACACAGCCTTGTCAGAATTGACATTTTTTGCTTCTCTAGTGGGTGGATACAGATGATGTTCTCAAAATATAAGGTAATATTTATTGAGCCTTCATTTGTCTAGAAATTTTGTGATGGGCTTTATATGTTCATTATCTTACATAGTCTTTGCAACAACCCTTCGAGGTAGGGAAATGGCAACTTCCGTGGAGAGGAGAAGCCCTTGCTCCTGGCCCAGCTCCTTGACAAGGTGACCTTGGGATCACAGCAAGTCTGTGTGGAACCAGTAGCAGAATGGCAGCGGCCTCAACCTCTGGCTCTTGGGCTTCACATGTTCAGTCTGCATTTGAATTTTTTTGGGGGGGTCACTTTGCAGATTTTCTACACTGAGCACATTAACATAAAAGCCCTTTTGAGCTTTACTTTTTTTATTTTTTGCCGGTCGTGGGGCCTGAACTCTGGGCATGGGTGCTGTCCCTCAGCTCTTCAGCTCAAGGATAGCACTCTACCACTTGAGCCACAACTCCACTTCTGGCTTTTTCTGCTTATGTGATGCTGAGGAATCGAACCCAGGACTTCACGCATGGGAGGCAAGCAAGCACTCTACCACTGAGCCACCTTCCCAGCCCCTGAGCTTTACTTTTAATTTTAAAAAAAAATTCTTTTTGCCAGTCCTGGTGCTTGGACTCAGTGCCTGAGCACTGTCCCTGAGCTTCTTTTACTCAAGGCTATAACTCTACCACTTGAGCCACAGTGCCACTTGTGGCTTTTTCTGTGTATGTGGTACTTGAGGAAGCGAGCCCAGGGCTTCGTGCATGGTAGGCAAGCACTCTACCACTAAGCCACATTCCCAGTCCTTATGATCTTTATTTTAAAATTGTTTTTAAGTTTCCTCTTCTCCCAGGGAGGGGAGAAGAGGAAGGCTGAGTGAATGAAGGATCAGGGACTCTGAGGACTTTCCAGAGGTCCCAGCCTCTCGACCTTTATCTCTCGGTCCAGGACACACTTCTGAAAATGAGAGGAGTTTTACCCAGGCTGTGTGTTGGAGTGTCTTGGCCTTTCCTGGGGTATATGTACCTCAGGTTTCCTGGAGATCCCTCTCCCCAATCCTTGCCTTCCTGCCTGCAGGCCCCAACTCACCATGTCTGGTTGGTGCTGGGATCTTGGTGCAGCAGGGAGCTGAGCACAAAAGGGCCTCCCTCTGGTGTGACCCAGGACTGGGTTACATCCACATTGAAGGCCACAAGCATGTTCCAGCCTGTGGGAAAAAGAGGAACATTTAATGAAATAAACACTTTGCTGTGGCTGTAACTTGGCCTTTATTCCCAGAATTCCACCAGATCCTGTGGAGTCACTATCTCTGTTTTACAGGACAAAATTGTGAACCGCTCACCCCCAAGGAGTAGGAGTAGATGTGGGCCTATCTGATCCAGAGCCTCTGATCCTCCTTCTAAACAAAGCTGCATTGGCCCTAGAGCCTCCTCAGAAGACCTTCCATGTAGGCCACTGTCACTTGCTCATACTCTCTGCAAGCCTTTCTCCTGTCCCAGGAAGCAGATTCATCACTGAGTCCTGCACCAAAGTTAAGATAGACCATGAGCCCTCAAAGAGGGTTTGACATGTGCTGTACCCCACTTCAGGTTACCCAATAGAAAACATATGTCCTCAGAAATACCTTCCCTAGAGTGCTTTCTCACCCTTTATTCATTTACAATCCATTAATGGAAGAAAGGATAAACTAATTGTGGATATTTTTTCACATAATAGAATGGGAATATCCAGGAGGCAAAGGGGGTAACTGTGTTACATGCCACTGTAGAGGAAACCTCAGAAGACCTTCATGCTGAGTAAGAAAAAAAGTACCAGATATATATCTACTGTATGAGGAGCTGGGAAGGTGGCTCAGTGGTAGAGCGCTTGCCTTGCATGCATGAGGCCCTGGGTTCGATTCCTCAGCACCACATAAGAAAAAAAGCCAGAAGTGGCGCTGTGGCTCAAGTGGTAGAGCGCTAGCCTTGAGCTAAAGAGCTGAGGGACAGCGCCAGGCCCAGAGTTCAGGCCCCACAGCCGGACCCCCCCCCCCAAAAAAAAAATCTACTGTATGGTTCCATTGCTCTAGAACTAGCAACATTCAACTATAGTAAAGCCAGAGTGGAAAAGTGAATAAGGATTTATTGGGAAGGGACAGGAAAGAACCTTTTAGAATGATGAAAATATGCTCTATATTGACAGAAGTTTTGATTATAAAGTTTTATCTGCTTGTCAAAACATACTAAATGGTACACTTCAAATTTGTGCATTTCTCTGTATGTACCTTTTACCTTAAGAAAGACTGTAGCTGGGAATGATGAAGCATGTCTGAAATCCCAGCACTCAGGAGGTAGAGCATTTCAAGTTCCATGTCAGCCTGGACTACACATCAAAACCTTATCTCATTTTTTTTTTTTTTTTGCCAGTCCTGGGGCTTGAACTCAGGGCCTGGGCACTGTCCCTGAGCTTCTTTTGCTCAAGGCTAGCACTCTACCACTTGAGCCACAGCACCACTTCTGGCTTTTTTTTTTCTTCTGTTTATGTGGTACTGAGGAATTGAACCCAGGGCTTCTTGCATGCTAGGCAAGCACTCTACTACTAAGCCACATTCCCAGCCCCTTATTTCATTTTTAAAAAAGAACTATAAACAAAAATTATGAATTGCAGCTGCTATGTATATTGGGATGTTTATGGATAAAGTGGATGGATGTCCGTAACTTCCAAATGTATCAAAGATGGCTGGAAGATGAACAGATTAAGATGTTAATGTGCAAATGTTTTTAGAAGTTCATCATGGGTGAGGTAAGCCAAGAGCAAAGAGACAAACGGTACATGGTCTCCCTGATAAGTGGATGTTAAATCCAAAATGTTAGGTGATACGACAAAATTAACAGGACTTAAAAAACAAAGAACTTCCACTCATCTGGTCGAACCACTACTAAATATCCCCATGCTGCTGATCACCTGTATGGTGTATATGTGTACACCGTTATGTTATAGACCATGATAGACAATTTGCTCCAGGAAAGTTAGACTGTTTGTGACTTTAACTGAGCATCACTATCCCACATTACGGTGAAATTTGGGAAATTATGTAATCACTTAATCACAATAAAACACACACACACACACACACACACACCAGAAAACTAGAAGTGGCGCTATGGCTCAAGTGGTAGAGCATAAGCCTTGAGCTGACTTGCTCAGGGACAGCTCCCAGGCCTAGAGTTCAAGCCCCACGACTGACAAAAAAAAAAAAGAGAGAAATCTTTCAAGTGATTGTTTCTAACATATTTATAAGATTATTTCTTTGTTGCTTTGTATGTCCCTCCCCCACGGTATAACCCCTGCTTTCACTATATATGATGTTGGTATATGTGGAGGGGAAGGAAAAAAACAAATCATTAAAACAGGGATACAGGAGGACCCATTGCAACAATGAGATGTACAAGTGAACTTTACAACTTTGTGTACAAATGAACTTTACAACTTTGGTGGGGATGGGCTAGGGGGAGGATGCGAAGGGATGGGAAAGGGAAACAAAGGAGGAGGCTACAATGCTTGATAAGAAATGTACTCATTATCTTGCCCATGTAATTGTAACCCCTCTGTACAGTATTTTCACAATAAAAAAAATACGTTTATAATTTTTTAAAAAAGTTCATAATGGTAAACTCTGTCCCGGGGCTGGGAATGTGGCTTAGTGGTAGAGTGCTTACCTAGCATGCATGAAGCCCTGGGTCCAATTCCTCAGTACCACATGAACAGAAAAAGCCAGAAGTAGCACTGTGGTTCAAGTAGTAGAGTGGTAGCTTTGAGTAAAAGAAGCTCAGGGACAGTGCTCAGGCCCTAAATTCAAGCCCTAGGACTGTAAACCCCTCCCCCCCCCAAAAAAAAACTGTCCAATTTACAGTCTCTCAACTTTCCTCCCTCCCTTCCTTCCTTCTTTTTTTTTTTTGTTTGTTTGTTTGTTTGTTTGGTCATGGGGCTTGAACTCTGGGCTTGGGTGCTGTTACTGCACTCTTCTGCTCAAGGTGAGCGCTATACTGCTTGAGCCACAGCGCACCACTTCCGTTTTCTAGTGGTTTATTGGAGATAAGAGTCTCACCAACTTTCCTGCCCAGGCTGGCTTTGAATTGCGATCCTCAGATCTCAGCCTCCTGAGAAGCTGAGCACTTGCATAGGATTACAGGCGTGAGCCACTGGTGCCCCGCTCTTCCTTCCTTCCTTCCTTCCTTCCTTCTTCTTTCCTTCCTTCCTTCCTTCTTTCCTTCCTTCCTTCCTTCCTTCCTTCCTTCCTTCCTTCCTTCCTTCCTTCCTTCCTTTTTTCTCCTCTTTCCTTCTTTCTGGTCCTGGGGCTTAAACTCTAGCCTGGGTGCTGTCCCTAAGCTTTTGCTCAAGGCTAAAACTCTACCACTTGAGCCATAGCACCACTTCCAGCCTTTTCTGAGTAGTTTATTGGAGATAAGAGTCTCATAAACTTTCCTGCCCAGGCTGGCTTTGAACCATGATCCTCAGAGCTCAGCCTCCTGAGTAGCTATGATTACAGGCTTGAGCCACTGGCACTCACTCAGCTTAAGTTTTCTTTCTATATAATATTTTTCATCCAAAATTGTGAGGAGAAAATGGAGTTTGACTAATAGCCCCAAAAAAGGTCATGACAATTTATCCTCCAATAACAGAAGACTGCCCACAATATCTCCTGAACTACGTGTATACCTTCTCATTCTTGCTTTAAAAGAAAATCCTCATGCTGAGCCCTGGTGGCTCATGCCTATAATCCCAGGTACTCAGGAGGCTGAGATCTAAGGATCAAGATTTAAAACTACCCAGAGAAGGAAAGACCATGAGACTCTTATATCCCATTAAACAGCAAAAAAGCAGACTGGAGGTGTGGCTCAAGAGTTAGAGTGCCAGCCTTGAGTGAAAAAGCCAAATGAGAGTAAAAGATACCAAGTTCAAGTCCCAGTAGCAGCACAAAAAAATAACTTACAATAGGTAGATAGATAGATAGACAGATGGATAGATAAAATAGTATCCCATCATTTTGTTCCAAAGCTATTTTTTAGGGCTGAGAAAGCAGCTTAGTGGTAGAGCACTTGCCTAGCATGTGCAAGGCCCTGGATTTGAATCCAGCCCCAGGTTAAACAAAACAAAAAACTAGTTCCTAATGATAAGTGATATCATTGCTTTGTCTAGAGTTATATGCTGCTCACTCATGTACATTATCCATTTTTGTAAATATGTATCTATCTTTTTTTTATCTATTTGTGCTTTTTCCTAAAGAAATTGGCCATGTGTCACAAATATTGTTTCTCCCTGAGTTGCTTGACTTGCATACAGTATTTTCCCATAGCTACTTTTTTTCCCTTTATGTCAGTGTGTGTGTGTGATACTGCAGGTTGAACCAAGAGCATTGTGCATGCCAGACTACTGAGCTTCACTCCATCTCAGTAGACCTGAAACACACCTTGATTGTATTCAGAATTCTCATGTGCATTTGGACCTTTGCAACTCAGTTCCACCCCAGACGACACCAGCCAATGTCCTCTAACTCAGCTCCATTCCAAAATTGTCTACCTGGAAATGGCGTTACCTCCCACAGGTGGAGCTTCCTCCCTCAAGACCACCTCCACTTCTGATGTTCATCAAAAATCCTCAGGTAGTCTTGTCTGAAGTTCTGGCTGTTGGCCATAAACCATTACTGCCGCAACCCCTCCTTTGGTTCATTTTTATTTTTTTCAGTCACAGGGCTTGAACTTGGGGCCTGGACACTGTTGAACTCTTTTGCTTAAGGCTAGCTCTCTAGCACTTTGAGCCATAGTTGCATTGCTGGTTTTCTGGTAGTTAATTGGAGATGAGGGTCACATGGTCTTTCCTGCCTAGTCTGGCTTTGAACCGGGATCCTCAGATCTTAGATTCCTGAGGTGAATGAAGCCCAGCTTTAATTATTTTTTAAATTTGTTGTGTGTGTGTATAAAAGAGAGAAAAGAGAGAGGGAAAGAGAAAGAGAGAGAGAGAGAGGGAGGGAGGGAGAGGGGAGAGAGAGAGAGAGAGAGAGTTCTGGGGCTTGAACTCAGGGTCTGGATGTGGTTCCTTTCTTTTTCCCTAAAGGTTGGTGTTCTACCACTTGAGCAATAGCTCCACGTCTAGCTTTTTGGTGGTTAACTGGAGATAAGATTCTCATGGATTTTTTTTTTAACCAGGCTGGCTTTGAACC